TCAAGTGTGTGGATGTGTCAAGTGTGTGGATGTGTCAAGTGTGTGAATGTTCCAGGTGTGTGAATGTGTCAAGTGTATCAAATGTGTCAAGTGTGTGAATGTGTCAAGAGTGTGAATATGTGAATTGTCTGGATATGTCTAGTGTGTGAATGTGTCAAGTGTGTAAACGTGTCAAGAGTGTCAAATGTGTCAAGAGTGTCAAATGTTTGAATGTGTCAAGTGTGTAAATGTGTCAAGAGTGTCAATGTGTCAAGAGTGTCAAGTGTGTGAATGTGTCAAGAGTGTCAAATGTGTCAAGTGTGTGAATGTGTCAAGTGTGTGAATCGTGTGGATGTGTCTAGTGTGTCAAGTTTATGAATATGTTAGGTGTGTGAATTTGTCAAGTGTGTGAATGTGTCAAGTGTGTGAATCGTGTGGATGTGTCAAGTGTGTGGATGTGTCAAGTGTGTGAATGTGTCAAGTGTATCAAATGTGTCAAGTGTGTGAATGTGTCAAGAGTGTGAATATGTGAATTGTCTGGATATGTCTAGTGTGTGAATGTGTCAAGTGTGTAAACGTGTCAAGAGTGTCAAATGTGTCAAGAGTGTCAAATGTTTGAATGTGTCAAGTGTGTAAATGTGTCAAGAGTGTCAATGTGTCAAGAGTGTCAAGTGTGTGAATGTGTCAAGAGTGTCAAATGTGTCAAGTGTGTGAATGTGTCAAGTGTGTGAATCGTGTGGATGTGTCTAGTGTGTCAAGTTTATGAATATGTTAGGTGTGTGAATTTGTCAAGTGTGTGAATGTGTCAAGTGTGTGAATCGTGTGGATGTGTCAAGTGTGTGAATGTGTCAAGTGTGTGAATGTGTCAAGAGGTGTGTCAAGTGTGTGAATGTGTCGAGTGTATGAATGTGTCAAGTGTGTCAAATGTGTCAAGTGTTTTAATGGGTGGTTGGCGGGTGCTCTGGTGTGGTTCACTCCTTCTCCCTGTCAAACATCTATCGTCCTTATCTCCCCTCCTTTTTTGTGTTTGTTACTCTCTTGTAACACCTCTATTCTCCGGCTTTTATACGACCTTATTGTGTTGCAAGTGCCGTAAAACTTTTACTAAAACTAACAGTAATCACTGTGTGTGTCCATGTGTATGTAGGTGCGTTTGTCTCACAGTAATCATTGTGTCTGTCCCATGTATATGTTTTTGTCACAGTAATCACTGTGTGTGTCCCATGTGTGTGTCACAGTAATCACTGTGTGTGTCCCATGTATGTGTGTGTGTGTCACAGTAATCACTGTGTGTGTCCTATGTACATGTGTGTGTCACAGTAATCACTGTGTCTGTCCATGTGTGTGTGTGTCACAGTAATCACTGTGTCTGTCCATGTGTGTGTGTGTCACAGTAATCACTGTGTCTGTCCCATGTGTATGTGT